CCTGAGGATGAGAGAGAGTGATTGTTCACAGCCATTAGACTCCCATCAGACAGAGATGTAGGGCAAACAAAGCCCTAGGAATACATTTGTATGAATCTTTCATATTCTTTAACACCACAGTTGTGCCTTTTTTCCCCTGTCCTTTGGCAATTTCGTTATTTTTTTGAATTCTTACTTGATGTTGGTCAGGATACAGAGTGAAACAGGATGATGTTGTCATCATCTACAAGCTTCCCTGCCGGTGGTTTGCACCATCCCTGCACATTAGGATCACCCGGTGAGCCACCCAGCCTCTCCCAACCAAGTGAATGATTATTTCTGGTAGTTTCAATTATCCGGCAGTTATGATGAAAGTCAAATAAATGCTCTCAAACTGAAAATTACAATAAAAGAGAAAAAAATCTTGTATTTCTTTATTTAGAGCAAAATATAATGGTTACTATCTATTGCATTTATATCATGTGTCAAATATTCAGGTCTGGTTTCATGCATGTTATCTATTAAGCCAACCTCCATCCCTTGCAGATAAACTGTGTCCAGTAAGATTTTTCTAATATCCTCAGTTTACAGAATAATAAAATGGGACTCAAAGGAATGCATTTTCTGACCCGTATAAACTTGGGAAGCAGCCCAGACGGAATTCAACCTATGAAAAGGAGTTAGAGCCTGACCCTTGGTCTAAATCACAAATTCTGAGAATACTCTGTGGGCTCATGTAGTCCTCCTACCGTGACTCCAGGACTCCAGGCCACTGAATACAATTTTCTAATCTTGGGGAAAGAATGTGCTCTGATGCTCAGTTTGTATGTGCTCCAAATAGTTAGCAGCATGATTGGGCGTTCCTAGGTGCTATTCCCACGGTGCAGTGGGGCCCTGGGTACCATAGGCATTCGACGACTGCTTTTTAAATAATGAGCCAAGTGATTGCATGGGAACTTTGAGAAAGAATACAGCAGCATCTGATCAAATCAAACTCATCACCAAAGCACACACATCACAAGGTGTTTTCAACAGCCCCTGTCAATACCTTGGCCTTCTTTGTTTTGTTCCACACTTGTCTGCTACTTTATTTAGAATCTCACATGTTCACTTCATCCATGTTAAAGTGCCTCTATCCCATTAGTCTTTTCTTCTTTCTTAGAATGGGAGAATATTTCCCACTCCCTGTTTCTCTGCTACTCTCATCTTCCCTCCATTTTTCCCCTGGAATCACATGGCTGACACTCTATCCCCGGTCACACCTTCAGGTTCTAAATTAAATGTGATTTCTTCACATAAACAACCCTGACCTCTCAGCATATCCTCCCCTGAAACCTTCCCTCATGCTTTCCCCTTCTTTTCTTTTCCCCACAATATCTTTATTTTGTTTATTCATTTTTACGTGGTGTTGAGGATGGAACCCCTTGCAAGGGAAGCGCTCTGCCACCATCCCAGCCCTCCTCTTAAAACGCTTTTCCATAACGTGCTATGATGCATGAACTTCCAGTTATATTTAGCCAGTAACTGATTCCCCACTCAATACCTTCCTTTAACATCCATATTTGTTTTACCAGTGTATTTCTAGTGCTTAAAAATACTTGGTAGGCAGTAGGTGCTTAGCAAAAGTGTTGAATGTTAATTGTTTCTAAGTATAGAATTGTTTAATTCCTAAAAATAATGTTTAAAAAATTCCCTTCCTTGGGGCTGGGATTGTAGCTTAATGGTAGAGAGTGCTTGTCTAGTACATGTGAGACACTGGATTAAAACCTGAATACCACATAAAAATAAATAAATAAAATAAAGATATTGAGTCCACCTACAAATATATATATATATGTACATATATATGCACATATATATATTTATATGTATATATATATATTTTTTTTTTAATTCCCATCCTTGATAAGTGATCTAACTTATATGTAATTGTTTTTCCTCACTTCTGTGTTCTCAATGGATGCTTTAAAAAATAATCAACATATGTAGTGCTCCCAATCAGTAGACTAGTTTTTCAGAAAACCATTTGCCTGCAGGAAGTCACTGAAAATCAATGTGAATTCAAGAACATTCCCCAGAAGCAAAAAGTAACCTGAGAAAAAGAGTTCATCTGAGATGAGAGCTTTATAATATGACCAGGTAATCTACTAGGGAAATATTTTACTCCAAGTAGATTTACACAAGTAAAATGTAAAAGTCTGGTTAATTTTCAGACACAACTCTATTGTTCTAGCATTTCTGTGTTCAGAATATTTAGTGATGACCCCTAATCCATGTCCGTTGGAACAAGAGACTCCATCTATACAGAACCAGTGTGCACTCTCAAGAGATTCCTAGGGGATTTTCTTTATTTGTACCGTCTGTATACTCATTTAATCAATTCACCTCAACAAGCATTGGAAACATGACCATGATACATCTTACAAATTTCCCTTAGCTGTTCAAAATGAAAATATATATATGAAAACCTTAACAAAGTATTAGAAGATCTCCCAACCCATCAAGGTTATAAAAATGAACCCATGATGTGGGTAAGAGAAAGAGCAATCAAGATACCATGTGTTCGGGTGAGCAACAGCACTGTCAAGGGTGTTCCCAATTGGTAGATGGCAAAAGTTATGCGGCTTAATGACAAGTTGATTGGCTTTGAAATTATCTAACCTTTAATTGAATTCTGGCTTTAATATTTATTAGCTTTCCTTGGGCATATCAGCGATATCCTTGTTGAGTTGTTTTTAAGGATTAAAATATGTAAAATATAAAGTCACTTGTGTAATAATTTTCAAAAATGTGTGACTCTTATAACTGATTAGAGGAAGAAGGCAATACCGAGTGAAAGAAGAAAGACTCATGACGAGATTGAAATTCAATTGCTCCTTCGATATAAATTTTATTTCAAATGTATTGTGTGTCAGAGATATTGGATACTCTGTTGAAGAAGATGGAGTTTAAGATTACATTTTAATGGAAGGAGACAGACAAGTGAAAAAAATAGATATAATTCCCAGATATTCAGACATTGCAAGGCTGTAATGTAATAGAGTGAGGCTGGATGGTGTTAGGGAAGTACAACTTTGGCCACTCTAAGCAGATCACATGTGAACCAAGACATAAATATACAATCATTGGGGAAAGCATTCTAGTCAATGGAACAGCTCATAGACAAGAGGCTGGTTGGTGCATATGGCTAGTGTAGATGGAGAGGAGTGGAGGAGGGAGGGAAGGAATAGGGTGACTTTCCAGAAGTAATTCTGGGTCTTAACATTGAATATCTAGAAGACCAGGTAGCAAAGGGTCTGCTGCACAGCCAAGACTGTGCAGGAAGACAGCACAAGTAAAACGACCATGTAGAAGAAAGAAACCTGCCTCTAGGAAAGGAGATGAGGAAAATGAGCCCAGCTGAAGTATAAAGACAGCATCCCTGTCTCAGAATAGAGATATGGAGTTAGGAAATTAGATGCCACAGCTGCTATTTTTTCTTCAAAGGTGAATGTGGACTGTCAACAGAAGTTCAGCAATGGTTCTAATGCCTCTGAGGGTTTGTTTCTTCATTTTGGAATTGATTTTCTTGTTAGTCAAATCTTGGCGAAAGACTTTTGACAAATCTAGGTTGTGCATTCTAAATGCATTACATTCTTCATGGAGAATCCTCCTAAAATAAATTATTATGGAGGCACAATTTATATTTTTAAACAGACTGTTTTAACTTATTCTATCACTCTTCAGGAGACACAATTGTTTTTGCTTTATTGATTTTCCTTACATTTTTCTAGTCACAGGCAGATTTAGTGTTCTGTGCATCTACAAATAATAACTCACATAAACTTAAAATATAAGTGAATGATAATGTACACTTCCTTCAAAGCACATGGATGTTATTTAAGTAGTAAAGTGAAGGGGCTTTTTTTAATAATAATATCCTGTTCTCTTGCTACTTTCAATTTAAAAGAAAAAACAAAACTTTATAATTTTCCAAGTTATTTAAAATGCTTTTCTTTCATCACCTTGTAGTAGAACCCCACCACCCCAACCCCGCATAATGTACATGATTTCAGTTCATAGTCAAGTGCCAGGCAAGCTTCCTAATGTTACCCATATCCATATTCTACCTTGCTATCTGTGTATTTAGAGACAAGGTAATTGACCTTTCTGGTCTTTGATTCATGAATGTTTGTGCAGAGTTTAAATAATTAATATGCACAATGCTGAATGTAGAGTAGGTACTCAGTATGTTCTGATGTCCTTTCACAAATTCAGGAAATAGGTGTTTCAGGTTTAGTTTCCTTTAAATTTTATGTACCATTGTAAGTACTGGAGGTAATAGATCTTTCATCTTGTTTCCTAGTCCTGAGACTCTTTTGGACATCAGACATCTGTTTCCAAATTCCCAATCTCTATGAAACTTCTGGCCAGATTAAATGTCTATTTCTCTAAGTACCTGGATGACTATGATGTCATCAGTTTCTTCTCTACTTTCACTCTGTGGATCTAGACTCATCACTAGTATCTGGTCCCCACTTGGTAATCTGCATCTTTCATGTTTCACATAAGAGTTTAAGGATTTCTGGACTTTTACTCTGTGGGTCTGAGAAACTGATGTGACTCCATTTTTGAGAAACCAGCCTCTACCTCAGAGCAAAGCCTGTCCAAGGAAGGGGGCATGACCCTTGTCCTTGGAAAAAGCCTGAGGGCACTCCTAGGCATATACCCATCCTGCTGAGTTGTTTTTCTACAAATAACAGGAGAGATCTGCAGTGCCAGGCGTCCCTGACTCAGTTAAGCTAGGTGAGGACCCATAGCAACCCCCTAGCAACCACCAATCAGAATGAGACAGGGAAAATACCTGGGATGCCAGATTACCCCTCAGCAGTCTGGGTGGTTGATAACATGTTAGGAAACCATGTAGTTTAGCATGTACACCCTCCCCCATGGCTTAAACCAATCAGTTCAAACGAATCCCCCTCTTGTACTAACCAATCACCACTACCCAACTTGTTCCCGCCAGTGAATGTGCTAATCAATGTTAAGAGTTGTTTGGTTTTTCCGTGGTGTGGAATGATTTGCTGTGTGATGTTGTGACACACAGAGTATCCCCCCAAACCTATAAAATCTCACTGAACAAAGGACTGGGGCTTGCTCCTTGAGACCACTGCGTCCAAAAAGGTTGTGGGTTCAGGCTTGAGCTTGCAATAAAGACTCTTGGGTGATTGCATCAGATTCGGCTCCTGGAGGTCCATTGGGGTCCCATGAATCTGGCATTACAGGTCCATAGAAAGTGTTTTAGGAAACCACTGACTTACGTAACAGTCTTCCTTATTATTATTGTATTAATATAATAATTTGTTATTGTTGTTACTTGTTATATAAACTTGGGCAAGTTCTTTAACTTTTTACAACCTCAGTTTCCTCATCTGAAAATTGTGGATGGCACTTTGAAAATTGAAGTAAACAAAGTAAAGCATAGTAAATTCCTAGCATAGTGGCTAACAAGATTAAAAATCAGGCAATCAGGCTGGCAGAGAGGAGCAAGAGAGGGAGAAAGTGTTTTAACCTTGTCACAGACCCAAACACTGCTAAAAGTGGTAATTTAAGACAATTCTGACCTGGGCAGTGTAAGAAATTTATCAACCACTTTACGTGCATTAAGAAGCATTAAGAAAAGTATTAAATTACAGCTGTAATGTCCCAAACCAAGTTATTTGTGCCAGGTTCTCATAGTAGATGATTGTTAGAACCCTGTGAATTAGAACACATTATAATCTACGCTTCTATAAGATATATATCAAAATGAATCCTATTGTCAGATATAACTAAAATAACCAATAAAGAAAAAAGGAACGCCTATGAATGATAAAGATACTCACCAAAAAGGAAAATATATATATATATATATATATATTTCTATATATATATATATTTCTATATATATATATAAAAGGAAAGAAAGGGGAATTTGTATCAGATGCCACTATTTCTTCACAATCTGCATTTTAGCTGTCATTTAAGGAAGATAAGTAGAAAATGACTCCATCCTCTCCTTTCTCGATGTTTCCTTGTTCTTCAATTTACACACATGTACAAACTTTTTTCCACCAAAGGAGTCTTTACCTTAGTGGAAAAGGACACGCATGTACATCTTGAAGGATTCATTTCAATGAGATCTAAAACCTCCAAATGTTACAAAACAAAGTGGCTGATGCACAGCAACACCAGGGATTGTCAACAGCAAAATCATCAACGCTCAGCATTGTCATTCATCACGTTGTCTAAGCAGAATTGCAATCTCAGAGGAAGTGGGAAGGGGATGAGAAGTGAGAAGTGGCATAAAATGATCAGTTCCGCTCTGAGACGCAGGATGCCTGTGTGCTCAGGACCAAGTCAAGCATCTTAGTTGTGAATTTGTGAATGTGTCTGCGATTTTCACCAAAAGGAAAAAAATGAAGAGAACACAAAATCACATTTTAGAACTGCATGTGATGATGAAAATGTAAGCAGGTTATATTTTATCCATGGTGTTATTTTCTAACATTGCTGAGCTTGTAGACGTGCCCCCACCCCTTCTCCTCCATTCATGTTTTTCCACATGATTTCCTGTTGATGTGAACTCGCTACAAAGAACAAAGCAAATGTGATGTTTTTACTATGAGTCAGTAGGTTTACACATCCATTTTCATTGTGTCCCTCCCAGATGAAGGCAGTTTAGCATCCTTAAAAGCACCAACTCTCGGCAGACTGGCTCGATGTGAATGTCAGCTCTGCCAGTTCTTACCCTATCTTGGCAAAGTTCCTTGACCTTAGTTTGTCTGGATTTCCTCACTTGTTTTAAAAAATGTTGAAGATGATAATAAACAACTTAGGCTACTCAATTCTGCAGTGGTAGCATGAAAACAGGCATAGACAATATCTAAGTTAGTGAGTGTGGATGGTCCATCATTTGCCATTCCCTGTTTTATTTCATAGAAATTGTGATCTGAAAGAAACTTTAGCAATCACTTCATCTGAGCCCATCATTTTATACTGCAGATAACCGAGAGTCAGAAAAAGGATGTGATTTGTGTCGTTATTAAAAATCACGTTATTAAAAATATGACAAGGGCTGGGGTTGTGGCTCAGCGGTAGAGCGCTTGCCCAGCACGTGCAAAAGGCCCTGGGTTCAATCCTCAGCACCACATAAAATGTAAATAAACAAAATAAAGTTGTTGTGTACAACTAAAAAATAAATATTAAAAATATGACAAGCAACTAGTTATGTTCTTATATAACTCATGATAACATTGTCATCTTCAGAGTCCCAAAAAGGATCTCTTCTTTTCCAGAAAGAAAGGTATTCCCTGCAATGATGGATCTCAAACTTTCAAAGTTTCTGTCTTAAACTTCTTCAATTCCCTGGAGCTGACTGTAGGAGAAAGATCCATGTGCAGATAAGAAAGTAAGACAGAGAAAAAGGAGAAAGTAATCAAAGGTGAGACAAAAAACAAGAGCCCTGCAGGGAGTCGGTTTCAGCCTGATCCCACAAGGAAACTCTGGAGAACTGTCCTGGTCTTCACTTCTGCATTGGTTAGTGGGTGTCCAGGGAGTCTGCACTCACATTGTCTTCTTCGTGTCCTTGACAATGAAAGAAAATCCATAAACGAACTTGTTTTAGGGTGTGGACCAGAGATTTCTGCTGCAATCTAAGTATCTCTTTGAAGTTTATTGTATTATCTATAAAAATTTGTGTGAATTATCTTCATCAGTTACTTGAGAGTCTTTCCAAATCCATGAGTTTGATTTGCTATCTTCAAAAGTTGTTTTAACTAATATTTGATTTTTTTTAATCTTTAAATTTTAGGATTGTTTTTACCATTCTTTCCTTGGGGTTCATACAACTTCAGTTTAAGTAGAAATAGCTTCTTAATGGTTTTCTTTTCTCCTATTCCATTTATAGTTTCCTCTCCACATAGGTAAGATGGAAGCCGGTTTCTGATATATCACATACCCCATCTTTAAGAGAAAACCAAGAAGACAGTTAAATAAACATCAATTTTTTACTATTCAGGTTCCTTTCCATAAATTCTTAAGAGTAGAGTTTTTCTAGTCTAATTTTAAAAGAATCTGAGATCTAAAGTTTCCTGCAACTCTACATGAAGATTATAAGGACCTATGATGCCATGCCAAACTTTTCAAATATTTAACTGCCTCTTTACATATGGAAATGACAAGAGACTCTCTCAAATTACAAGTGCTATTGACATGATTGAACAAGTGTGTAGCTTGTTTATTTATGTATTTGTCTTTCCTGGTAAAAACTTTACTAATGTATCCGCACCTCTTGCCCCCACCTATTGCTCCTTAAACCATAAAGTGCACCCTGGGGAAACACCAAATCCCCAAAACAGTCACTACTGCTGTGAATGCATCAATAACTACAACAGCTCATTACTTAACTCTGAAATAATTTAGGATATTTATATTTGAAAATATGCACATTGGTGCAAACTAGTTATGAGTCTTCCTTTTCTACTAAGAACTTCATCTTACACAGCAATGATGTTGCTCAATACCACACACAGTAGGAACACTTCTCCTCATTGCTCTTAATCATTGATTTCACACTAAAACCAAATTAATCTTCTCAGGAACTAGGAGCAAAACGTGTCTTCATGCAGTTTCAAACATAGAAGAACTATGCTAAAACAAATGGAAAAAAAATAGGAGGTTTTATCACCTACTCTTTTGTTTCCAATTAGAGAAGATCTTCACCCTGACAGACTTCAGACTACTTATTCTTCATTTCTCTTTTCTGAAGAGAAGTTTTTCTTCACAACAAAATCTGACACCTTCAGAATATTGTGAAATGGAGATAATATTAGAATTTTACCTCATAGTATTTTGTAAGAATTAAATGAAGTGTAGAGATGCTAGAATATCAGGAAGTATCAGGAAAGGTCATTTAGTATCCACAATGATTTATATATATCATAGTTAAATGCTAAATGTGAAGGTATATTTCTATTATTAAGGAAAAGTCACATGTTAAAAATAATTTGAGAAACTAGGAGCATTAATAAAATTATACTATAAGCACTAATATTATAAATGCCTACACAAAGAAAAAGGTTTTTATGGAATTCATTCAGTCTAAAGTTCATTTATTCAATAAATATTAATAATGCAGAAATGTAGATAATAATGTGATTATTTAACACTAATATTACAATTTTTTTCACTAATAGTTGTTAAGTTGTTGAGGTTTTCTATCTCTAGCCCTTCTTTTTTTAACATTTAAATTTTTTTTTCTAATTAACTATACATGACAGCAGAATATATTTTGTTTCATTGTACACAAATGAAGCATAATTTTTCATTTCTGTGGTTGTACATGATGTAGAGTCACACCATTTGAGCAATACCTAGGGTAATGATGTCCATCTTATTCCACCATTTTTCCTACTCCCATGGCCCCTCCCCTCTTGTCTCTCCTTTGCCTAATCCAATGTTCCTCCATTCTTCCAGTATCCCCTCCCCCCACTATAGAGGAGCATCCATTTATCAGAGAAAACATTCAGCCTTTGGTTTTTTTGGTTTGTCTTACTTCGCTTAGCATGATATTCTTCAACTCCATCCATTTACCTGCAGCACAGTATAGTGATGCAGCCACATCAATGTTTATGGCAGCTCAATTCACAATAACTACATTGTGGAACCAACCTAGATGCCCTTCAGTAGATGAATGGATAAAGAAACTGTGGTATATATACACAATGGAATATACTCAGCATTAAAAGAGAATAAAATTATGGCATTTCTCCAGCCATTCTTACTCAAAATGTCTGCAAGTTTTTCTATGAATTCCTGCATGTATTTACTTCTGATTATGCAGTTGTGCCAGGACTATTTTCAGTTTTCAGAACAAATGTTTCTACATATGACTATGTGAGCCAATAAAATGTAAAAAACAATTATCTGCAGTTAATATAAATATGATACCCTCAGGTGTCCTAGATGGATGTTTTCATTCATTCATTCAATTGTTCACCCATTGATTCTTTCATCCAGTGAATTACTGGTGTTCACACAGAACAAGCAAATTAATAAACAAGTACTCAATAAGTATTAACTATGAATAATAATTGCAATTTTAATTATTGCTAAGCACCTAGTACAAGTTAGGTAAACATACTGCACTTCAGAAATAATAAAATCAAAAAGTAATATGTGAAAGTGTTGTCTCTTGTAAAATTTGCAAGGGAGAGGCTTGCAAAGGTGTTTTTAAGGTGAGCAAAGAAGACTAAGATACAGCAATTGTCTGTAGATGCACAGAAGTAGGAAGAGATTAACTCTGCTGGGGGCTGTAAGCACCTGTGACTTTCTGAGACCATCACATGTTCAAATCTTCTAACTTCTTGTGATCACTTAACATATACTATAAAGCATACTGAATGTACCTTTCTGTTATTAAACTTAATTTTGTACAATTATAGACATAGTTTATATTTTGCAGATATTTAATTAAGCATTCATTAATTTTAACACTGCAATTTGATTTTTAAATTTGGAACCAATATGTACACTTTTCAGAATTTCTAAAGTTTTGGTTTTTTTTAAAGAGAGAGAGAGAGAGACAGAGAGACAGAGAGACAGAGAGAGAGAGAGAGAGAGAGACAGAGAACCCTCCAATATTTATTTTTTAGTTTTTGGTGGACACAACATCTTTATTCTATTTTCATGTGGTGCTGAGGATTGAACCCAGCGCCCCGCGCATGCCAGGCAAGCGCATTACCGCTTGAGCCACATCCCCAGCCCTCAAAAGTTTTATACAAAGTTTTATACAAAGTCTTATACACACTTATACTCACTAGCTTTGGTATCTTCTAAGTGGATCAATAGTCCTGGTAAGGAAGCATCAGGAAAGGCCTCAGAGAAATGTGAGCTGCATTCTAGAAAAAACAACCATGCATGTTCGGTTACTTATTTCAGGCTTTTCTCAATGGCCATCCTAAGAAAATGACCTGAGAAGTTATCCCACAGACCCTCTGTGTTACTCTTGGTGTGTCAGTTTTGCACATGTACTTACTCGGATAAGTACTTCCCCTTCTTCAGGTTTTGAGAAACGAATGGCCAAAAGGGATTCCTTCCCATCTCATCCCTTTCTGGCACAGGGCTGTGGTGTTTTATGACTGCTGAGACTGTATGTGAATATAATTAGCGTCCTGTGGTGTCAGAGTCTAGGTAATTTCCTCATAGAACAATTTTACCTCCATTTGAAGCATCACTAATTTCATTTTGTACTTCAAGACACACTTTTCTTTCTACATGCCTGAATATTGATTAATCTGAGGTGGTGCCGAAAGGTCTACTCCTTCAAAAGATGTCCAATAACTCAAGCCTCAAATTTTCCTGTTGGTATTAGTCATTTGATTGTTAAAAGTGTAGAGATCCTCTGTGTAGGCTAAAATTTTATTTCTGTTACATTAACTCAGTGTGTGAGGAAAGCTGAGAATTTTGGAATAGACAAATCTAAAGGAGTCTTTCATTTCAAACTCACATAGTTGTAAGAAAGGGCTGAAACCTTTAATATTTTCTTTTTTAAACTGTATGAACTTAGAGCTACTTAATTTCTGCTTTGAACTCCTCACACCTAAAATTAGGATCAAATAATTAACAAATTTACAGGCATATTTGGAGGATTAAATATATTACCTTATATAAAGCATTTGGAACAGCGGTTGACATATTGATTTATTTATCCAAATATTAACACTAACAGTATATTTCATGTTAAATATTTTAAAGTGATTTCTATCTCATAAGGCTTACTGTGGCCAAAAAAATTTCAGAGATGCATTTTCAGTGGTAATACTACCTATTGAAAGAGGCACAAGACTCAAGGGGCATTGAATTTACATTTCTAATTCCACAGAGTAAAAATGTCCATAAACCACAATGCCTATAAAAATAATCCAGAAACCATATATGGAATTCATGGTAATTGAGAACATTTTCCCTCCAGTTTTTGGGAAGGCAAAGTTTACTAGAAAATTAACTGAAGGTGCAATTTTTATTAACATAAGGGTAAAAATATTTAATAAAGTTTAAACTGTTCTAGGTGTATTCTTTAGCACATAAAACATGAGCGCACATTCATATAAATGACATATCAAAAGATTATTTAAAATAATTCTTATTTTTATAATACGCAACTTCAGGAACCCATATACCTGGCAATACTTTGTTTCTAGGTGGCAAGTGTATGCTATTATAGGTACTGAAAATAATAAACACATACATATATGGTATTTTCTTTCTACATATTATTTCTAACTTTCTCCCTATTTGTTAATATTACCAAAATTTCTGCACACAATTTTTAAAAAGCAAATCAATATTCAAAGCTGAGAGCCATTGTTAATTTTTAAAAATAATTATATAATTACATATATTCAAATGCTTAAAGGCATTAGTGAAGTTGGTAATCCACATTCCATGAGGATCTTCTCCAAAACCACCATTTCCTGTTGCTTTTCTAGCAGCAGGTCAGAAGGATCACCTGGAACCTGTGGGTGTATCTCATACTTTTTCAATAAAAATGGTTATAAAGTTAGAAAAACTTATCACCACCCAATAAGTAAACTAAATTATCTGTCTGTAGGGATAGAATCTTGCTAGCAAGGGGAAAGTGTGCCTTACCTTTTGAATTTCAAACCATGAGTGTATAATACCTCTTTGGAATTTTTGTGAGTTTTTAAAGGATTTTAATACATTTGATTAGTTCTCCCTTACTAGTATATTCTGTGTCATTGGATTTGATAATAATGTATTAATTTTCATCTTACCGTTAGGGTCGATACAAATTTGACCAAAGCTTCTGTTAGCTGTCACTGTCTTTTGCTAGAAATTTCTCTTCTAGATTATTAAATATACACACATTCCCTCAAAAATAAGTTTTAAGAATATTCTATAAGTAGTATATTACTATATTTTATAAACAGCAATGAGGAGGGCAAAGAAAAAAAAATCAAGGTAACACTTTTTATTTCCATGCAGGAAGATAGAAAAATAGGTAAAATATGGTTATTATAACATATTCACATAGTTATAAATTATAAAGCAAAAAAAAATCAGAGCAGAAAAGGGAAATATAGTATCAAGATGGAGCATGGAAAGTTTGCATGGACCCCAGTTCATCCCTCAGGTCTGAGCTTTAGTTGCATACAGCAAAATGTCCATGATAAATTGAATTGACTAGATACTCAATATGACCAAAATGAGTATATATCATCTCCATCAACTCTCTTCTACCACTACCACTGAGTTACTCAAGCCAGAAATGTATGAGTCATCCCTGAATCCTGCTCAAACCTCACTCTCCATGTCCCATCTGTCACAGAGGTTAGCAACTTCTCCCACGTGGCTGTAAGTCACTTCTACTCATTGTCATTGTCACTATCCTAATTCAAACCAACATCATCTCTCACCAGGTCCTTGCAAATTCTTCCTGACACATCCCTTACAGCCATTACTGTCTTCTTCCAGTGTGATTAAAACTCATTTGTCACACTTCTGCTTCAACCCTACCATGGTCCCAGTCATCCTTCCCATCTCTTAACTTCTGGGAAGGAGAACTGTCTAAGAAACAATAGCCATTTTTACCCCAGTCCAATGCAACAACAATCTTACTGTTCTTCTCATTCTTCATTTATGCCAACCCTTCTTGACCCAGGAAATTTATTCATATAAGTTCCTCTGCCTGGAATATTCTTTTCTGTATCAGGTTGGCCTATCTTTCAAATTCCAACTGAATTTCTTCAGGCAAGTTTTACCTACAACCTCAGAATGAGCTACATGCATCAATTATGGGTTCCAGGATCTCCTATCTTTTTCACTTCACACATTACATTTACACCTATTTCTATGCTAGTTTTCTCTGCAACAATGGAGTGCAAACTTCAAGATAAGGGTCATGTCTGACTTTTCTGTTCATTATCCCTAGTGCTTGTTCAACAATGCATGATAAAGAGTAAGTGCTGTATATATACATTACATATATGTATACACCATTGAATATTATGAAGAAGAATGGCAGATGATTGATGACTGTTTTTAATTTGCATTTATTTATTTAGTATACAATCAGATTACATTGAAACATGATTTTTTTTTTTTTTAAATTTTGGTACCAGGGATTGAGATGCTTATCCATTGAGCCACATCCTTTTTATTTTTTATTCTAAGTCAGGATCTCACTAAGTTGTTTAGGCCTTACTAAATTGGGGAGGCTAGCCTCAAACTTGAGATCCTCCTGTCTCAGTCTACTGAGTTGCTGGGATTACAGGTATTTGCACCACACCTAGCTGAAGCATGATATCCTAATAGTACTTAAATTTTGCCTACTCATTGTACATTTGGGATTATGTTCTCCAGCAACTGACACATTCTCAGATTCCATGTTTTTTTTTTCCCATTTCACATCTTCCTAGCAACCATATCAGGAATGTCTTCAAGAAAGATGTCCAGAGTTAATTTGCCATACAATAAAGACCCATTTTAGGCATCAGTAAATTTAAGGTTTATAACAAGAAGGAATGCAATTTTAATTATGTTAGTTACAGCTACTGATAAGCAAAGTCCCTGTGATGTTACTACCTAGACAAAACCAATATTCTTTCATCCTTTTTAATTTTAATTGCCGCTTGAGTCTTTAATACTAATCTTCTTTTGAACCTTCATTTATTTTCTGGAAATGTCTGCTCCTCCCTTTCTTCTCAAAGCTAAAACTGTACCAAATTTTATGTCCTCTCAATCTTTTTAAATAAATGACACTAAGGCTTCTTTTGCTTTCTTTTCATTCATTATATCTTGTTCATTAAAAGATTGCTTTATTTATTAATAACACAGCAAAGGTTACACATATTACATCATTTTACAACAGTCCAGTGGAGAAGATACTCTTCTTCCAGGAAAGGAAACTGAGGCTTGGAGAGGTTAGATCACTTGTCTAAGTATTTGAGCTAGACTTTGAAGGGAAGGTTTACTTCCTTTTTTTTTTTTTTTTTTTTTTTTGTGGTGCTGGGGATTAAAGCCAGGGCCTTGTCCATGGAAGGCAGGCACCCTACCAACTGAGCTACATCCCCAGCCCTTACCTGCATTCTTTATGCTCAATTTGTACTGCACTATTTTACTTGTTGAGATGCAAACTCCTTTTATTTAACTCTTCTCCCTTAATTTTAGGTACACAGTAGGTCTTCAACACATACTTTAAGTACTCGCTGGGTCATTATCATCGTTTTAGATGGGTGAGAGTATTTGTGGCTTCTTTTGTTTACTAAATTTTGTTCTAAGAACCCAAACTGAAGTAGGCCTAGTAGAAGGGGCTGGAATATAGGAAATACAAAGTCAATAATGGTTAAAGAAAAGCCCCGTTTTGAGATATTTTCTGGGAGAGCGCAACTTTATAAGGATTCCTCTTTTGGCTGCCCGAGTATCAAACTATTTCGTGAATCCTCTGGTTACAAATGCTGATAAGCCAAACTTTTTTTTATTTTTATTTTTTTGCCTCTTCATTATAGTTAGTTTGTGTAAAAGATTCCCACTGTATGCAATACTGGGGCAGGGAGCAGGGGGAGCACGAAAGTCAGCTATTTGCCTTGGCTATAGGTCTGTAACTGGCAACCCAAGTGCATACAGATAGGAGATTTACAGATTCTCTTCCCTTCTTCACCCTCCCACTTTCCCTCCAGTGTTTTGCTTTGGATGGCCTCCAGCGAGTTTCGGAGCCTGATAGAGCGTCACGCTGCAGATGTGCGCTGTGTCTGTAGTTGTTTTAAAGTGCTGTTTTACCCTCCTCTAACCTAGAAACTTCTTTAGTCGGTGAAAGCTCACAGCTCCCCCTTCCCGTTCGTCCTCCCTCCCAGGGAAACCCCAAGCCTTCACAAATTCCTTGGAGTCTTCTCCCTAAACTGCCTGCAAATGACCCTTTAACCCAGGTGGGGGAGGTGAAAAGTTATCTGGAGGTGTGTGGGTCATGACTACATCCTGGACCGGTTGGCCCCTAGTGCTGCAAAGTCCTGGAGCCTGCAGCTCGACCCAGCCGCCTGCAGAGGACCCTGCAGCCCAGGGACCCACCCTCTACAGGGTCCTGCCGGTACCGGTACCGGACTGGGCACCATCGTCCCCCAGCTCCTCTCACCGCCACCTCAAGAGGTCAGCGGGCCGCAGCGAAGATCTGGCAGCAGTCAGGGATCTGGACTTGAAGTTGTCTAGTCTGGTGGTAGGAACGCTGTTTCCGAAGTGCAATTTTGGTTTTACCTCTCTCCACCTGAGTGACCTTGGGCAAGTTCCAAAGCTTCAGTGTACCAATTTCTAAATCCATAAAATGGGGGCACTGAAGTGATAACTAAAAGCTAGGATTGTTGTTAAGAGTTAATATAGCATTTCCCAGCACGTAGTAGGGGCTCTTAGTTAATGGTTACAACGTTTAGTAGTAGCAGTAGTAGTTAGAGACTAAGCACTGTGGTCCAAAATGCAGGTTTGAGCTCTGGCTCTTCCAGTTCTTCGCTAGGGAGTGGGGGGGGGGGCACGGGAGCGGAAGCAAGTGCCCTATCCCTTTACCCCCTTCCAGGGTAAACTCGGGATTACTCAGAGCCTGTAGTCGCGGTCTAGGGGCTCCTTCAGACGGCCCTGACATCCGTGCCGTGAGGGTCCCTTTCTCTGGAGCGGAGGAAATATTTCTTTAGTGAATTGAGCACCTTTTCCCTCCCTCACTCCCCATCTAAATCTTGCTGAATTCTCTGGGTCCCAGTAGCCGCGGTGAACCTACTGGGGCCTCAGGCAGGAGGGAAGAGGCAGCCTCGGGGTGTGCAATTCCCTCCGGGCTGGGGAAGGGAAGAAAGGAAGAGGTGGTGCGGACACCCAGGGAGAACCCGCCTGCCTCAGGCGGTCGCGAGCCTTTTCTGCATTTTGCCTGCCTTCTAGGGACCGCTGGAGCTTGTTGGATCTAGGGGCGCAATCCTTGAGCGGCCGGGTGTCCAGCTCCCCAAACCGGACCTAGGGGTTGGAAGCGCCCTCTCCGCGTGCAGCCCGAGTGGGCGGTGAGCTCGGGCCCGCGGGGTAAGGAGGGCGAGCAGCGGTGGGGAGTGTGCCTGCACGTGTGTGCGCGCGCGGGTGCGCGTGCGTTTGAGGGAGTGTGGGGGGCCTAGCCAAGGCGCGTCCCACCCTGCCGCCCACCTGCCCTTCCAGCACGGTGCCGCTGCCCACACCCTCTCGTCCCCCCGCACCTGTGCTAGAGCACTGACCACCCCCCCTGCCACCCCCTGCAGCCCTCAGGCCCCCATGTCCCACCTCCCCCTCCTCCAAACCGCACCCTGCCCACTAATAGTTTCCCAATGCAGATTCAGACCAAAACCTGGAGAGACAGCCTTGCCTTCCTGCTCCCCTCGCCCCCTCCCCCTCCTGCTATAAATAACCAGTACTAGCGGGTCAGGAACGTCACACCGCCAGAAACCAGGACCCAGAGGTTTTCTTCTCTGGGAATAGGGGGCAAAGGGTGAGGAGGAAGAGAAAGGAATCGCTCGTGAGTAGTGAAGAAAAGATTGCTCTTTGACTCCTGAGACAGACTGAGCATCATTTTATTCTTTTTGTTCTTTCCTCTTTTTTTTTTCCCTTTTAAAAAATGTTTTCCATTTCTTTCTTTTTCTCCGCACTCTCCCCACCCGCCCCAAATCCATGGGGTTGCTCCACACTCCTCCAATTGGTTTCTTTCCTCCCTCCCTCCGCCCCTGATTCCCTTTCCCACCCACCCCACCCCCACTGAACGTCCCCACCCCCACCCTAGTCTTGCCCCAGGCAGGGGATGCTATTCACCTAAGGAAATAAAGTTCAAACTCCTGGTCCCTGTCAGCCTGCTCAGACCCGAAGTGGGCTTCCGGGCATCCATTTTCCATTCGCACCCGACACCTGCTCTCCACTAAATTCTTAATCTGGTTTTGCATATTTAAGAGGACACACACACACACACACACATACACACACACACACGAAGGCACACACCGAAAACCCACAACCCGCGAGGTGCAAAACTGCCTCCTGCAACTACTGAAACTTACCAGACGCTGTAGTTGTTTTTGTTTTAACGAAAGATCAACAAAGATTTTACTCTGGAATGATCCTGTGGGGTGACTTTCTATATAATTCAAGTATGTATATATTATACATGTATATGCTTTTGCTTTTTCCCCTTTAATTTTTTTTTTTAAACAAGGAAATCTGCTCCGTCCGCGGCAGCCGCTGCTGCCCCTTTGATGTTTTGGTACGCCGTGCGCATGCGCCTCACATTAGAATTACTGCACTGGGCAGACTAAGTTGGATCTCCTCTCTTCACTGAAACCCTCAATCCCATCAAAAACTAAAGGGATGTGGAGAGTCCGGAAAAGGGGCTACTTTGGGATTTGGTCATTCCCCTTAATAATCGCCGCTGTCTGTGCGCAGAGGTAAGTGTCTTTTTTCCTTTCTTACTTGGCGGAATTCTGTCTGCATACCTCTGTGAGAAGGATGCTGGAGACGATGTGCTTGCTTCCTTATTGATGCCTGTTTATTGTCATTTCTTTCTTTAGTGTCAATGACCCTAGTAATATGTCGCTGGTTAAAGAGACGGTGGATAGACTGCTGAAAGGCTATGACATTCGTCTGAGACCAGATTTTGGAGGTAATGGGGTTGCCTTGCAAATAAGAAACAGCCCAGCTACAGCTGAAGCTGCCTTTTGAGCTTTGTGTGCACTCTCTTCCTCCCCCTTAGTTGAGGGTACATGTGGCACACTGAATGAATCTCTGTCTTCCCATATTGAAAAAGGGATCCAAACTTATGCTGATGTGTTACTATCCAACACTTGAGAGGTCTTTCAGGGACCCTCTTAGTGTGGACTCAGATTTGGTGACTTGCTTTCCTTTGCCTTCACTGTCACAAATCCTTTGCTTTACTGTCTTTGCTTCGGTGAGAGACAAGCCTGTTAAGTTTGGTTAATGGTGTGCCCAGAGAATCTGTCTTGCAGAAGGCCATCGTGAACATTTTTTGAGAACAAGATGTGCAGGCAATTGGTTGAGAGGTGGCATTAACCCCCTGTGCCCGCCTACTTTGGAAGAGTTCCTTTGGCCATGGTTTAAAGTGGCTCATCTGAATATCATCCACTCCTCCAAGCTTCTGCAGCCTGAGGGAGAAGGGGAGGGGCTGTAGGGTAAGAGGGTAGGGGGGCAGCTGGGGTAGGTAGAAAATGACATCTGTCCCTGCAGTCCTAAATATAGTGATATACTCATTTAATTTTGCTTTAGACTTTTCTGGCATTCACAGAGTTAAAATCTACACACCTAGGGGGTGTGGGAAAGAATGAGGAGGAGGGGGTTTTGATGCAATATATAAAAATCTTGTCCTCTAGAATGATTCTTAAGCTTCTTTTAAGTTGTGTGCATTCACAAGCTGAGACATCTACACATGTAGACAGAGCTGGAATCCCTCAACCACCAGCACACGTGTGTGCATATTCAGTGGAGCAGTTCCTAGAGGAGTGGGTGTCTACCACTGTTTTTGCAAAGCAGCAGGAAAGTGAAGCATTTGAGAATTAGCAGTGGAGAGGGGTTTGAGGCAGGGTGTCCCATGCCTAAAAGACAACTCTTGTTAAGAATGAATAAGTTCTCAGAAATCACATGGCTGACCATGTTGGTTTGCAGGTCCCCCCGTGGCTGTGGGAATGAACATTGACATTGCCAGCATTGACATGGTTTCTGAAGTCAATATGGTGAGTATGGAGGTTTATGGCTATGTCTCTGCAGACCTTTGATTAGGAATAGGGTTAAGGAGGGAGCTGGCCATTGACAGTGGGATGTGTGGGAATATATGTGTGAGGAGGAGGAAAGGGCATGACATTTTGCCTTGAAATTCACTGTGTTTGAGGTTACAGAGCTGGCTCATTTTGGTCCCTAATATTTTTCTTTTCAACCTGATTCTGACACTAAGGTCTTGGTGTAGAATGAGAAAAATGGATCACATGTTTGTTCCTGAAAGGCAGCCACATGCTGGAGACCCCTGCAGATGTGACCTTTCTTAAGGCTCCATAGAAAATTCAGTTCATGAGTGTTTTTTTTTTTTTTTGATGGGGTTAGGTGAAGACAAAATGAAAGAGGTATTTTTTTATTATCATGTAGCAGAAAAATTATTTGACAGAGAGTATAACCTACAAACTAAATTATGGTACAAAGAGGCTAAACAAAAAAATCTTGGATATTGAGACCCACTTGTTGCTTTTGGAAATCACCTACTTATAGTTAATGACAGCCCCATTCCCCATCCCCATGGCTTGCCACAGGCTTTAACCCTTTTAGTTCATGAAAACAAAAGTAAAAAATTATCACTCAGTTCCTAAAAGGCAGGCTAAGTTCCACGTGTCATCTCTGGTCACTTCTGGAGTGTTATTCATCTTGTGCCCTAAGCTTGTATGATTTATTGACAGCTTCTTTAGTGGTTACCTTCCTGGACTTGGGGCTAAGAGAAAAAGCCTCTGTGTTCCCCAAACAGGAAGCACTTGTGGGGGGTTTGCTTCATGCAGGAGCGCCCCCTGCTGCCCATGTTGGAGCACTGCAGACATGCATGACGATAAGTGTCCCAGATTCCCCCACTGAGGTGGGGCATTTCTCTGGTAACTTTTCTAATTTAAAGTTTTTTCCTTTGGAAAAGCCCATCTAGAAGGGCCACACTTTGATGTAAATCTCCAGAGTTACTTTTGACAGAGCACACAGCACATTTAAGAATATTGTGAATTCTTCTGTCCAGAAGGTGGATGGATAACTAAAGAAAGGGGTGTAGTGTGTAAGATTTTATGCAGACACGTCTTAGCCAGCCATCAGGAACTGAGAATTAGGACTCTTATTTATTAACTCAAGATGGTCAGTGTACCAAACTGCTAAGTTTCGAACAGGCTCTCAACATCACACACGTTTCCATATTTCCTGAATTTAAACAGGAACCTGAAATAACCAGTACAACCCTTATCCATTGCCCCCAAATAAGTGATAGTGTGTGTGGGATTATGTCAAGGTTCTGAAGAATCTTATGAAAACTTAAAGGAATGTTCAACTATTTCAGCAATGTTGTAGTGGCATGAATCTTTTTGTGTTCTAATTATTGGGAAAGTTTTTATGATATAGATGTCAATACTGGCCAAAGACAATATTGGATGTGCAGAACCACACATTATGAGATTCCCTGTGTGGACAGACAGTATTTGTTAAATGAATTTCTCAGCTATACAGATAATCACTTTGGGGGGATTGAAGATTTTTTATCAGTTTATATTCTGAGTTTCAACATAAAAATAGGAAATGGTCCCAATGTGGGTATCTCCTAAGTTCCAGGTACTTGATTCTAGATTGTGTTGCTGAAAACAAAGTTATATATATAAAGTCATGTGTGATTCTGTGTGTCCTATATGTGGATGGATTAGACACTTTTGTATGTTTTTTTAAAAATTTATGCTGTTTTCCTGCTCTCAAATTATATTTTAATGCTTGCTTCCTTAGAGGATTATTAAAATAGTGTTTTGTGGGAAAATAGTGGGAAGAATCTAGAATTCAAAGAGACAATCATGAGATGACTAGAGTTTATTGCAATAGGTTAACTAAGTACTTAAGTTGAGTTCCATAGAAAGTTGTTTGAGTGGTAGAGTTTTTGTTTTCTTTTCCTTTCTTAAGTTGTATTCATTTTTTTCCCTTTATGAAACATTTTGGAGAGATATCTCAGGTGGACTCCATGCCAAGACCTGCAAGTCAAAATATAGATCCAGCTAAGGAGAGGTGTCATAATTTAAAGCTATTTACTGTGGCTGAAAATCATGGGATGTTGAAAGTACAAAAATAAATGTCAAGTTGTAAATGGGACAGCATTGCAGCATTACTGATTAGAACCGAGTGTTAAAAGTTTGAAGCCAAGGCTAGGGTTGTGGCTCAATGGTGGAGCACTTGCCCCACATGTGTGAGGCACTGGGTTCAATTCTCAGCACCACATATAAATAAATGAATAAAATAAAGATCCATCAACAACTAAAAAAATATTTTTTAAAAAAGTTTGAAGTCAGATTCCTTTCTTAGCCTAATGCTAACACTGGTGGATATGTTCAACTACATTGTAGCTTGTTGAAAAATGAGCATCATTTTATCTAGCAACCCAAAGAATCTAAAACTAATCCTCCAAAGAAATTTTTTTGTTATATCTGTTGCTGCTACTTTATTTTTAAATATGGTTGCTTGCTTCAAAGCAGCAGATGAGTAATTCCATCACTAGTGCTTAAGATGATGTTTGTAGTATATTGTCCTTTGAACACATTTCTAAAAGGGTTAGGATCTTTTGGTTAGTTCCATTAATTATTTAAGTTAAATTTCAGTTGATTAATATGAATATCTCATTATCCTTTTTGGACTGCAGCCTCACTTTCTTATTCTAGCACATCTTTCTTTGAAGAATGCTGGTGCTAGACCATTTTAAATTGCTGTTGACTCATTTGTGTTGAAGAAAAAATGTCCATCCATGTCAATGTGATGCTTCTTATAAGTGACAATGATGAAAAGACCCTGGACTGAATCAGGAGTCTTGGATGGTAGTTGTACTGCTGGTGCTTAGTCATACTGGGGATAGTCACAGCCTGAGTGAGCTCAGTTTCCTTCTTGTTAAGGGAAAGTAATAGTCCCATTTTACCCATCTCAGGTGACCACAGAATTAATAAAAGATATATGTGAATGCATTGGTGTTCTATGAACAGGAATTAATACCATCCTAGTAACCAAGAGACAAAGTCTCTGGCACTCCTGCTGCTCTCCTACGTGTATTTGCATTGATAATGTACCTCTTTAGGTCTTAGTTTGCTCATCTTTGGAACGAGAAGGAGCATGTTCAGTTCACTTCCAACTCAGAGTTACATGTGTCTCCTGCTTGGTTTGTAATAGCAACTCTACTGTGTATAGAGAAGTTTCAGGAAAACTTGGGGATTTATAAGAGCATTAGGAAAATGCAGAACTCCTAAATGGCTTAGAGTTGAGAGTTCTAAGGAAGGTGGCAATTGTATCTAAGCCATGAGACTCAGATGACTGTCACCCCATGAAAGATCTTTGGAGGAATGAGACTTCAATTGGAATGCTCCTGAGCAGGAAGCTTGGCTTTGGAATGAAATATTTTTAGATGTTTTGGTTAAATTGGCAGGAATCTTTTTGTTAAGATTCTTTGATGAAAAGTGCATTTTAAGATTCA